AGTCTAACAAACGGAAGTCCTTTGTTCTCCGCAGAAGTGTCAATGGACCTCGAGACAGATGCTCTATAATCTTCTCTGAGAGATTACTAACGTTTATCTGACGAAAGCTACTGAATTAGGTCTCGTTTCGTTCCTATCAGCTCTTCATTCCACAAAATCGTCCGGAGAACAATCTGAACCCTCAACGATTCTTTATGGACCTGAAGTTTATCTTCCCAAGAACCGTTCCCGTGACACTTTCTTTTACTATCTACGTCATAAAATTCTGAAGATAATCTTGGTAGGAAGATGCTCGGCTCCAGATTCAAATTTTACAAGATTTCAAATGACCTTTCATTGCTTGATCTTAGGGAACCACAATTTATCTGTAACCCTTTTATGGGAAGACCGTTTTTAAATTACTTTTTAAAGAGTAGACTTCAAATTATTTTCTGAAGAATAATGGATTCTAAATTCTCTTTTAAAATTTGATATATGAACGCTTTTCTATTTTTGATCTATCTCAAATATATTATACAGCTTCTGTCGTGTTCACTGTGATAGCTTTCTTTAACTTCCACAAAAATTTACAATATAAGATAAAATCTTGTACTTGTTAGCCTTATACAAGTTATATAACGAAACTAAATTTGGATGAAAAGCACAGAAAAGGTGTATAAGCGAAACTTCCAATTAAATTTGCAGTTAAATTTGAAAATTTCCTAGGAAAAAATGTACGTGCAGATTTTCACGGTTTACAAAAACCATGAAACGTCATAAAAAACCAAAAGCAATGAGATCAATAAAACGGGCCATATATGGAAACTTCAGATCTTCAAATATGAAAATTAAATTTTAAAATTAGATCTAAAATATGAAAATTTAGAATAATTATTTTATACAATAATATAAAGAGGAATAAATTTGTGGAACAAATTTTTCAATCTTTCGATCATATTAAAAATTTTGCAAGAATAATGAGGCAGTTATTGATCTACGTAATTTAGGAAATTCAGAATTCATTGATGGTGGCGTGACAACGAAAAAGTCAGCACGCAGGACCGGAAACGAGCCAACGCGTAGCCGGAAGGGAAGTGGAAGCCTGATGGATTTCCCTGGTGAACCGGGTGCAAAGCGAATCCATGGAATTAATAAAGCGTAAAAATGAGGGATTCTCGAGCCGGTCGATTCAGTTAACGGTAATCCGTGCCACGTCAATTATCGACAGCCACGATTATGAGTTGCAGCCGTCAGTTTTCTCTGCAACGACGACGACAGACTGTAATTCGCGATGCGTAAAACACGCTGTGCCCCGAATCATCGATTTAATCCTTCGTGATGGGAACAACGAAAAAAGATGAAAAGGATTTACGATTTATTAACGATTCGATATTTTTCGCGCGGAAAAAGTTTACGATCGCGCTATGATTGCTGTGCGGGAGCCATGTTTGTTCGGCTGAATAACGTGTCCGAAAGTGGAGCATTTGGAAAATTGTTCACTTTCTCCTGGAACATTTTACATAAAATTTCTTGATATTGATGAAATCATTGCAGAATATATTTAAACATACAGAATTAAAAATCAATGTATAATCCAGCCACTTTAATTATGAAACAATAATATGGTATAATTTTGGTATTGTAATTAGACCACACTGGTATTTTTAGTATAGTTATTTAAATATAAGTAATGGAGTATTTGTTATAAAGAAGGCGTTTAATGAGAAAATTAATTCCAGGACATCGGGATTTAAAATTAGCGTGGCTCATTTCTTTTGGTATCTTCACTGACCATCACTCGATTCACTCGAATGACCGTTCGATGCTCCAAAAGAAAAGAAAATGACCGCTAACGAGGCTACCGACGACCGATGGAACGACTCGATTAGCGAAAAGCTCCACGACTTGTTCAAACTTTTTATCGTTTCGAAAAATTTCAGTCCCGGTATAAGTAGGTCCAATCTTCTTAAATACTCTTCTCTCAAGACCTCTTCTAATCGATGCTTAATACGTTCAAAAATGACTACGATCAGAACTGTATTTCATATAAAATTATTGCAGTGACTTATTCATAAATTGAATAAATAAAAAATATATAACTCCTTAATCCATCAATTTGTAGGTGATTTTTATTGCTTGACAAACGCAAATACATGGAAACGAATTCGTCAACGAAGGACATCAAACTCGCGTAAAATTTAACGTGTCACATTAAGGGAAAAACGAAAGCAACAAACACATGAAATATTTCTTGAAATCTCAATTTCGAAGCAACGCGAAAGAATAGGATCACCGAACGATAAATCATAGAATGAAAACGACAGACCAGACATTCTCTTGTTACCATTGAATTACATTTCATTCAGGAGAGACAACGTCTCGTTCGATCGAAGCCAACACCGTGTTCAATTACGCGTCCGATTGTCAGATACAAGATGAATCGTGACCATAAATAAGGCAGGAGAAACGGGACATTAGAAACCGTCGACGTAAGCGCAAGAACAACGCCTATTATTTCGCGATTTGAAGAAAAAGAATCGTTTAAAACGTGGCAATCGATGATTTGTGGAACCATTGGCGTAACTGGACTTTTAAATGTGGTAAAACCTTGCGAACTTAATTAACTGTTGTCAGGTATGAATTGCTCATCTTTAGCAATTTAGAGATTTTGGGATTGTAGAATTAAGGGGTTTGGGATTTAAGGAACTTAAGGTCACACATGAGAATTTGGGAGTTTTTGAAACTTGATGATTCGAGAATTTAGGGGTTTGGGAACTCAGAAATTTAACCTAGAAATTTTGAAGCTAATATGGAGATGTAACTAAGAAATGCAATTAAGAAATGTGAGAATTGAAATACGTAAAAATTTACAAATTTGGACATTTTAAGCGTAGAGATTGTAAAATGTAAAAATTGATTAAAGGTACTAATCAGAGGTCGGATTAGGATCCCCCTTGTTTCTAACTACGCCAATGGTCACCTGGCATAATGAGACTACAATTTGATCAAGCTTTCTCTTCACTTACAACGGTCGGTTTAATCCGTCCGATCGGCGCGGTATCCTTCGACTGAATCTCGCGAACAGATATCACGATCGACCTGTTTGCTCGGTTTAATTTGTCTGCGTCCAGTTTGAAGTATCGGATCAGCGGCGATACGTTCGATCAAATTATGTATCGAACGGTACCACCGACCTCCGGTATCGACGGCCGTCTCGATTCGGCTCGGTTAATCTCCGATCGAAACGACTGGACAGAAGTATCCGCATCAGATTACTACGTTGCACGCAGAATACCGATTCATCGGAGGTACTGCGAGGACTGAATACAAGCGTACAAGGGATGGTTACGATCTCTTCGAGCAGCGGTTCGATTAAATGTAATCGCACGGAAAGAACAAGTATCAAATTGTACGATCGATACGCAGCGAAAATGAGTATTCTTGATCAGCATTGAATTACCCCTTTACGAGCTGGCTTTTCGAGATCGAGCAATATTTCATTATTTCTCATTCGGTTGCTTCTTGCTCTGACAAGAATTGCTTATTAGGTTACAACGGTAATACGATATTTCGAGATTTATTTTAACTCTCATACCCTATCTCTTGTGGATGTTTTAGGTATATTATGTTCTTATTGTATTTTAGATCCTTATATAGGGTTAGATAGATACTTTATGTTCAGGAGCTATGCACTTCGTTGTAAATTAGCTACACGTCCTTTGCGCATCTACACATTTTTTAGTCCTGTACTGAAAATTTAAAACTTTCAAACTTCGTGACTACTTCAATCTCTACCTCTATCTAACCAGCACTACCAATATTATCAGTACATCCAATCATCACTAACACTGCTACCAATATTAACCGATAACATCGATAGACTAGAGATTTAAAAGATCCATCAGAAATCGAATATCCCAAAATATTTTGTACAAATATCCAAAAGAAAATCATCTTCCTCAAATATTCTGCAACAGCCATGAACCACGGTATTATCGGATTTCGTCGAATAACGAAACGCCCGGCAAACGCTCCATACATTTTGCTCCCCCGGCTGATCCTCTACTTTCCGTGAAAAAAATCTTCGATCCGAATCGAACTCCATCGCGGTCCCGAGACCGCAGAAACTTTAATCACGGATCACAGGATCCAGTCGCGATTCCCATTCGTCACGAACACCAAGAGAGTAGCCCCGTTTCCACTACCTACCCTACATATAGTACATGCAGTTTCGCGGAAGCATAAAGGATACGCCCGTAAATCTCTGTGGACCTCATTTCGCCGGCCAACACAATAGTTGGTGCTGGTCGTTCGAAAGGACGCTCAGAGTGTGGTCATTTGATCGTAATACGATTTACGATTAAACTGTCTCGACCCCTTTTCACTGCCGTCCTTCCAGTTTGCAGTTTACTTACGAATTTTCTGGCCGGTGTACGCTCGAAAGCAAATATGTCATCCTTGGAAATAATACGATTATTAAGGGACAAAGGATCTACCGTGTACCAGGTTTTGAGGGATTTTTGAGAATTTGGAGGTTGGAGGGTGGCTTGGAAATTTAGAGATGATGAATTTGGGAGGTTGAAATTTAAAGAGAGAGATTTGAGGAGTTTGGGGTTTAAGGAAATGGGGTTCAGGTAGTTTAGAAGGTTTGGATCTAGAGATTTGATTGGTTAGAAAGGGTGGTTATGAATGTGAGGAATTAGGGATATGTAGATTTAGAGATTTAGCTGTGTACAAATCTGGGATCTAAAAATATGAGAATACGAGAATAGGTATTTGACTATTAAGAAATTTGGAGGTCCAGGGATTTGACCGTTCAGAAATTTGGAGATCTGACATTTGATGGCCCAGAAATTTACCAAGACATATCTCAGCATATGTGTAGTTAGAAATGTGAAATTTGAGGGTCCAGAAATTTGGAGATCTAGGAATATGTGAATAGGTATTTCGAAAATTTAAATATCTCCAAATTCTAAAATATGGTTTAAAAATTTTAAAAATTAAAAATTTCATATTTACCAAAATAAATCTGAAAATATCTGAAAGTACTATACATGCCCTCATCCCAGGCTGCACCCGAGTTCACATCATTCCTTTCGTCAAACATTTCGTGGCTCTTACCTGAAACAAAAAAATAAAGACGAGTTAGGGACAGTGTAATCGTTGCATGAAGCAAAGAAAAGCTGCGTAGCTTTCCATGCGTAAAAACCGTTTAAACAACGTTGCGCACGAAAAATTCTTGGCTTCCCCGTCGCGGATGAAACGAGAGATTTTTGATTCTCTTAAACGCTTTCATTATTCTGGCGGCTCTGCGTAAACACGTCTGCGTGGAGAACAAAAAATTGTATAATTCTTTCGAGGCAGATTGCGAAAACGCTTTCGCTTCCCAACCGTTTTGGCTCGTTTTATCGCGCGATACCGTGTATCAGTGTGTTTATTTTACAATTTTCTGCAGGTGTTGTCGGATCCTCGTGGAAATATTGTCATTCCGTGTTTCATGCTACAGAGATTTATCGGATGAACTTAACGCGAATGTGAATACCAGTGTTCGAATAAAGTAATATTTTTAATCGCCATGATATAATTTTATTTCGAATTTTAAAGGAGCTTTAGTGAGCTACACGGTACACTTATTATATTTAAAATTTCTATAGCGATGTTTTCATTCATTTGTAAGCTGAAAGTTTACCTTATGATAGAATTGAATGAACAAATATTATTTTTATATTTGTTATAGTATTTTTTAAATTCATTGGAATATGTGGTTGTGTCAGGCAGGTCTCACAATTTCATAACTTTTACAATTTTTTCAATGTCTAAAATATTAAACCTACAACTGTAACTTTACATTATTTCAGCATTTATATCCTAAGTATCAAGAACAGTGTTCTTGTACTGTAACAGTACTGTTTATGTTATTGCAACAAAAACAGTGTCTGCATGGAAAATCTGCTGAAGAACTACATTGTTCTATTTATTCCAACATCATTTATTATTTTAAGGTTGAAAAATATAAGATTTGCTTCGATTTCAAACAACGATTTCTAGCGCACTGCATCGAACTCTCAATTTACGATCGCTAAAAACAGCTTTCTCCCACGATAAACATCGGTTTACAAAGCCAGTTAAAAACGTGTGAAATCCACAAGAAAAGTGGTACAATTTCACACTCTGTATGACTGGAACCGACAGAACGAGCGAGAAAAAAGCATAACCACAAAATTGAAGTCTCGCTGAACAAACCGACCGCAACGTCCTCTCGCTCCGCCATAAGCGAAACAACAAACATGGTTAACGAAAATATCAACATTTCGAGTGCAATCAAGCATCTCTTCTTGCGTGCTTTTCTACTTAAACTGAGCGATGGCCTTCTCTTCTTTTTGGGGGTAAACAAGAACCTTCAAAAGCCATTTTCGACGCTGTATCGACTTAAAAAATACAACTTTTTAGTCTATTTAAGTCTAATCTTTTTTAGTATTTATTGTATATTGTATATTGTATATTTGTTTGGATATATTTATTGTTTTTAGTCTTTTTCCTTGTATGTGTTATAGTCTCGCTACATGCTCTATATGACACATTTATTTTCATTAAATAAAGTTTGAGGTATAAAAACAAAATGGCTCCTAATTTTCGTTACAAGATGAAAGTGACATAGGTTAGCTGCAACACTGTTATGAACTAACTTCGTCAAGTAATTAAACTTGACAAATATTAATAATATACCAATTGATGTACCAACTGATGTACCATGACTGATGTACCAACGAAAAGTTATCTTGTAACGATATATTCACGTTATACTGCGAATATAATTATAATACCATACGTAAAATCTTCCAAATATAAAGTGAAACCTGCAATCTGAAATATCTGATATTTAAAAATAAACGTCACCGTACAATGTGAAGTTCAAAGCACCTTGCATAATATGGAATCTCGGTCAATCAAGACTCGAATAATCGATACCCTGTACTATGCTACACGTAATAATGAAAAGAATATTTCACAAGTCCAATAAACCCATATAAAAGAAAAGATTTCTGTATGACGTGTGTCACAAATTCAGTAAAAATAGTGTGGTTAATTTTGAGGTTGTTGTCCCGCAAACCAAGTGTTTCTCCGTATATCGCCATTATTCCACGCAACGAAAACGTCCGCGTAATTATACGCGCCACGATTCTCCACGAGGGATGCAATTAACTCAAAACCTCGCCTACGTTCCTGGCGATTCAGCAGTTAATCATCCAGGAAGTTATACGCCTCTGTGTAACATTCATCCCCTTCGAACCTCTTCCCGTACCCCTCTATTCTCACTCTGCAATTCATTAGGACTGCATTCATAAACAATCGTCGTTTTGCTGCCTCCCAATGAGCGACTATCGACGATTATCGAATGCAAACTAAGCCGACACGCTGCTCCAGCTGCTCCCTTGTTAGCCACTCGCCTACGTATTCTAATTTTGCAAATTTCGCGCGAAATCTGATAGTTGCGATTATTAGACTGCTTTTGGATCTTACGTTCAGCAAAATAAATGCTTCGTTTAGGAAATTTTGGATTTTTGGGTATTCGTTGATTATGCGAGGGGTTGTTTGAGATCTTTGATTTTCAAATTTTTTGATTTAAGGATTCGGTGTGTAAGCGATTTAGGGAGAAAGTGATTTAGTGATCTAGTAATTTAGTGACTTTGAAATTTGGAAATTTGAGGATGTGGAGATTTGGGAATTTAGAAATCTAGGAATCTGGAAACTTAGAAATATAAGTTCGGTAATTTGCAATTTTAAGAAATTGAAGAATTTACAAATCAGAACATTTAGGAATTCAGGACTTCTCAAATCTAAAAATTAAAAATTTATGAAACTGTATTCAATAATTTAGTGATTTAGAGACGTAGAAACATAACAATTTACATTCCACTACCTAATTCTCTGCAATTCCAAATTACATAAAAATCGCACAACATTAGAGAAAGCGAATCGAAACTGTAAATTACGATTGGTTAATGACGTAAACTCGGAAGATTGTGGAGCATATTTCCCCGTGTAATCGCCGCAAACAAGAAATTAATTGCGAGATAATGACTATCGCTTGAATGAACGTTAACATTTTCCGCGAAGGAATGCAGAAACGAACCGCGTGAAAGGAAAGCTAACCCCCAAATCGTTGATTTCGAGTTTGTAGCTTGCAGAATGTGGTTTCTGAACTTTCAGCACAGAGAATTGTATGATGCAATGAATATTATTACAGAGAAGATTAATATTTCCCTTCGAGACACGCGGAAATTTCCATAACGCAAATTGATCGATCGTTACTCGAGATCGTTGTTTTCACTCTTAACAAGCGTACAATTCGAGCGTAATAAATGCTTTCTTTAATTATTACTTTCCTAACGGAAGAATATTCGGATTGTTCGAAGGTACGGTCGGCTAATGCAAATATTTGTCTTTAATAAAAGCATTGTAAAAATATTTCAGACGGAAACTGGAACTCCGGCAAGCGTATTAATCGAAAAAAGAAGTGGAAAGAACAACAGAGGAGAATCCAGCGCGAGGACGATTCAAACTCCGTGGCACGGTTTTAATGTTTTTATCCAGAGACCAGAACGTGGCACTGGAAAATTTTATGCCAGCTAATTGTAAGCGATAGCGTCCGTGTGTAGCACCCTAGCGAAATTTATTCCAGCGATTTGCCACGAGTTATCGTCCCGAAACACGAAAGCAGATCGTCCAGGTGAAGCGAAGATGCCTGAAAGCCATTTACACTCTTTAGTCGTTTGACAATTTCCTGATACGATCACCTGGAGAATACCTGAGGATCTCGTGATTGCCTTTTGTTGGAATCGTCTGCGGGAAAAACGTTCTAGGAGATCGTACTAACATCCCTTGGGGAAGCTTCCGCCAAGACGAGAAACAACAAGATGGTACATCCACTCTTCGTTTCATGCAAATATAATTCCAAATAAATCCAAAGAATTCTCCTCGACATCTGTATCATTTACTGAACAAATACTGAGCATTCACTGAATAATTAAGATACTAAACAATTACTGAATTCAGCACCGAACAACATTTGAAGATATTAAATCATCAGCGAGGTTCATTAAAATGAGGTATTTATACAATCTTCAACTCGAAAGGAACTTTTACCAGTGGATCAATATTTCTCTTAAAATAACGTATTTTGTTAAAAGGATATTGCAATATTGTAACGTTTCGGATAATATTCAGTGTTCCATTAGCAGTCACGTATGGCACGTATGACTATGTCGCAAGACTGAAATAAAGTCAGCTCGTAACTGAGAACCGTCAAAAGTCTGCAAAAAATTTTAACAGTTCATTCCGAGAGAAGAGCGTGTTTCCTGCATATGGCTCCCTTAGAATTTTTTATCCCCTTAACGAGTAGATTCTGTAAAAATTTCAACAGTTTATTCCGAGAGAACAACGCATTTCCCGCATATGGCTCCTGCAAAACTTTTTATCCCTCTAACGGCTAGGATACCTGGAGTTTAAAACAGAACTTTGACCTCTAATTTCGTAGTTTTAATTAATTTCACGAACGGTTCCGTACGTAAACGTTTATTCAACGCGATGCAGGGGATTATTCACGTGATCCATGGCTAATAATTTCATACTATACTATACAAGATTAGTCGTTGCTTTCGGACGTGATATTTGGCGAGCTCGTGAAGACTCCATCATAAACTTTAGGGACTCCATGTATTTAGAAATATTGGGAAGTTTTGGGAGAATTTGGGAATTTGGGGTTTGAGAAGAATTTGGAAGAATTTGGGAATTTGGGGTTTGAGAATTTGGAAATTTGAGGATTTGAAAATTTGAGAATACGGGATTTGGAAATTTCAAAATTTGAGAATTCAGAATTGAGGATTTGGGGTTTAAGAATGTGGAAATTTGAGGATTTGAGGTTTGAGAATTTGGGGTTTGAGAATTTGGAAATTTAAGGATTTAGGGCTTGAGGATTTGGAAATTTGAGAATTTGGGGTTTGAGAATTTGAAAATTTAAGGATTTAGGGCTCGAGGATTTGGAAATTTGAAAATTTGGAGTTTGAGAATTTAGGGCTTGAAGATTTAAAAATTTGAGGATTTGAGGATTTGAGGATTTG